AAAAATTTTTTTACGAAATTTTGGGGGTACCCCATTTTGCCACTCCTACCCCATTTTGCCCCCCCCCTCCCCTATATAGGCAGGATTTCTGCACATTTCAGAGCATCAGGCCATACCCCACTTGTCATGCATTTATTAAAGATGTTTTCTAATGGTATGCTAATATATTTACTTATTAATTTTAAAACTTTGGTATTGATTCCGTCAACCCCTCCTGCTTTGTTTTTTAGATTTTTAATTACCAGTTCAATTTCCTGACTATCAGTAGGTTTCAAGAAGATAGATTTTACATTATTTTCTATGTTATATATAGTATTTTTATCATTATTATTCATCTTAGTTGCTAAATCTATGCCAATATTACTGAAAAAATTCACAAAAGCGTCAGCAATTTCTTTAGTATTAGAGATCTTTACCTCATTATTAATTAAATAGTCTATATCATTATTATTACTCGCGTTTTTCCCTAACTTTTGATTTATATAGTTCCATAGATCTTTGCTACTGTTCGATTTACTGGTGATTGTTTTGCTCTCAAAATTACATTTCGCAATTTTTATTACTTTATCAAGATTTTTACAATATTTATCATATTTAGCTTTTAATTCTTGGTTTTCTTTATTTAACTTCTACTTAATATATAGTTTTTCTTTTGTACGACATGACTTCATAATGCCAGTCGTGATCCATTTTTGGCGTGGTTTTAGTTTACATTTATTAATTTTAGGTTTTACATATGCATTTTTTATAAGATTTTGTATTAACTCAATAAGTTTATTTATGACTAGATTTGGATCATGTATATTTAATATATCATCCCAGGCTATATTGCTACAATTTTTTTCGAGTAATTTATAGCTAAGATATGGCTTGGGTTCTTTACGATTTATTGACTTTTGAAATTTTAGCGATAAAAACAATGGAAAGTGATCAGTAAGTGTTTGACTATAGGTAAAAGATTTTAAATTATTACTATTGGATTTAACAAACATATTATCTATACACGATCCGTTGTAGTTATTTGGTCTTGTAGTATTGTTGAAATATGGGTGATAGTTCATGTCCAAAAGACAAGACAAAAGTAATTCTGAGTGACAATCTGTATTATTTAAGTTTATGTTAAAATCGCCAACGAGTATGTGATTTTTAACTTTCGAATTGGCATCTATATAACTACTCAGGTTTCTTATAAATTCATCTTTATCAATATCGTGACATCTATATATTCCACTTATTTTTAAAACTAGACCGTTATTTATATTTATACATGTAGTAATAAAATTGCAACGCCCGACAATGTCTATAGTAGTAGTATGCGTTAGAGAATTTGAAACATAGATTACTACTCCATCTACCCTATTTACAAAACTTTGATTATAATATATACTATAATCCCTCAACGAAAAAAACTTATATTCTACTAGATTCCAAGTTTCTGTACAGATAATAACATAAGGCTTACAATGTAATCGTTCTAAGAATAATTCTAGTTTTTCGAAGTTGGCGCTGAGACTTCTAATATTAACATGTAGTATAGAAAGATCACTATCAGTAAGTTTGGCATTTAAATCATCAATTGTGTCTATTGACTCTTCAATAACACAATTTAAATCTTGATTTGGTATCATATTATTAGTAAGTAGAGTTTATTTATGAATAATAAACACTTGTTAAAATTTTATGCTGATGCCCTCTTTGGCTCAAGTATTTTACCAAAGTGGGTTGGTATCTGTGGTATTATAGGGTAATCAGTTGATTTTATTATATTATTATATTTTAATTTAAGGTATTTACACGCACTGACATCTGTTGCTACATGATTCGTACAGTTGTTTTTATTAAATTTATTGTTATAATAAACACAGTTAATGCATCTTTTAGTAGTGCTGGTGCACATACTTGTATCATGATTCCCAGCACATATTAGACAGTTCACTTCATTGTTACACTTTTTGTGGCTGTGATTAGCACGGCCACACTTGTAACATAAACTCAAATTAAAAACGTCAAACACACGACAACTCTTATGACCGACAAATAACACTCTTGTAGACATGACACTAAGATAGATGTTTGACGACACTTCTAGTATTATGCTACGTTTCCTCTTGTTATTTGTAAAATCAGCTACAATTTTAAAATTGTTGTCAAAAAATGCATTATTTCTGTTACAAATGTCCTCCATCAATTCTTCTTTGTCCATGTCACTATCAATATCATAAATTTTTATTTTGGGAGCACACATTTTCTCTTGTTCTACTTCATAATTGTCACCAAGTTTTTCTGCAAGCACCGCCTTGGTTCTTGCAACATCTTGTTTGTATTTACATTTCACAACCACTGAGCCTGATTTTGTAGATAGTACATTTTTTATTTGTGCGCTGGTATTTGCTGTAATGTTTTTTTTAACTATCTGTACGCAGATTTTGTCAGCTTCTTTATTCCTCGTTTTAATGACAATGGCTGGAACTACTTCAGGGAGCCTTTCTTTATTGTTTACTTTTAAGGCATCCGTTCTAGTAGTTCTGTTAATAGTTGGTTTTTGGATTTCAGTTCTTGGTTTAAATCACGCAGTAATTCAATTTCCATTTTAGCATTTACCAACTGCTCATCTTCATTATTCCTTACCGTTTTATTTAGTAAATCCTGTGAGTTAGATGAATCTAACATCACACTACTGCTTAAGCATACTTTTAAGTCTTCTTTCTCATGTTGTTTTATCTGTGCAATAATTTTCCTTGAGTTTTCATCGAGTAAAGCGTGGTCGAAAGAGGTTATATTTTCGACACTGTGCTCTGGACACACAATTAGGCGTTTACCCACGTAGAAACCTTTTTTATATCTGTTAAAATCACCTTCATGATAAACACTTTCACATATTATACAGATCACTATTTTTGGTATTTTCATATTCGAATGACACTTGAAAGTTTCATGACATTTATCAACAGGCTGCATGTCTGCCGCCATCTTGTATGATTTTTTATCTTGTATTCTTGTAATAATATAATTATATATATATATATATATATATATATATATATATATATATATATATATAAA